CCCTGCCTTGGCCTCTAGTACGGCTTCGGCCTCCCCCTCTGCCCCTCGTGGGGGCTCGGGCTACTGATCAGTGGATGAGGAAGCGCATGTTCTCGCCATCTACTAAAGAACAGAGTAGAAATTCAATTAGCATTGAGAAACCAAACCGTACGACAGGAAAGAATAGATGTGAAGTTTTTCCTAACTCTGTAGTCTCTGGGATAAATACATACATCTCCGTACCGATCCCTCAGACTCTACTAAGTTTGTCCGTGAATTGTAAGACCTAAGTAACCTAGAGCTCTAATACCAACTTGTCATCACCAGGATTTTCCACCCTCGGGAGTCGTGATTGCGCCTACTAGTGAAAGCTAGGCAAGCCAACCATTTGTATTATTTACCTTTTTCCCATTTTAATCCCTTAACAATTATGAACTAACATTATATAAACAACGGAATTTAATAAGCGGAAGAACAAAATATAACCATTTAAATATTACCAATACAATTCCTTAAACAAAGACTACCCAGAACTGGTGTCACAATTTCACAGACGGTCTAGGAATACTACAAATAAGGATTCGAAAATAAATACAATACTGTCTCAGAAATACATAAATGAAACAGGATGAAAGGATAGAAGGAGACGCCAAGGCCTGCGGACGCCTGCAGGACTATCTCGGATCTCCGAATGGACTGAAGGCAGAAACCCAAAGCTAAAGTTCGTATGCTCCAGTATCAGGATCTGCACACAGTGCAAAGTGTAGTATCAGCACAACCGACCCCATGTGCTGGTAAGTGCCTAGCCTAACCTCGGCGAAGTAGTGACGAGGCTAGGACCAAACTACCAAATAAGCCTATGCAGTTAAATCATATACAACGGAAAATAAAAGCAAAACTTTACAATTAAAGATAGGAAGGGGGAGTCATGCTGCGGGGAACAACAAGTAGCAACAAAAACCAACAGTTAAATGTAAAGAACACCATAACTCAATTATCAATAGAAATCAAGAAAATCAAAGACAAGTGCACGACATCATCCTTCGTGTTTTTACTCTCGTCCTCACCATAAAATCAATATAATTGACATGACATCACCCTTCGTGCTTTTACCTCACATAATCATGTCACAGAATGATCCTTCGTGCATTATCACTCATATGGAATTGTACATCGTGCGGCACGGCATCACCATTCGTGCATTAACACTCTCTCAAAAATATCATACACGGCATCACCCTTCGTGCTTTAACACTCTCTCACAAAATCATACATGGCATCACCCTTTGTGCTTTAACACTCTTCCTTACCCAAACAACAATCACAAAGTAATAAGGGCAAGGGAATCAATAAAATCACAATAAAATCCCAGCAAGGGAACAATAGTACAACAATCCTATTCCAGCAAGGGAAACAATACCAAAACAATAACATCCCGGCAAGGGAGACAACATAAAAAATAACAACATCCCGGCAAGGGAGACAATATCGTAATCCTCTTTTCTTTTTCACATTTACTTCACAACTCAATTCATAATTTGAGTCAATGCTCTATAACGTTCAATTGCCAATTATACCTCTACAAATCATTTTTCAACTTGATCCAACACTCTTCAATATTCAAATACCAATATTACTTCCACAAGCCTTGCTCAACAATAGAAATCATCACATAAGGCATGAACAATACAAGCGGAATCACATTAATCATAGTAATAGACTCACGGACATGCTTGACACCAACGTATAGATACTCGTCACCATTCCTATACGTCGTACTCAATAATTAACACATAGCAATTAAGACACGACTCCTAGTCCCTCAAGCTAAGGTTAGATCAAACACTTACCTCGATGTCACGAACACAAGTCAAGCCTCAACTACCGCTTTACCTCTTGATTCCACCACCAATTCGCTCGTATCTAGCCACAAGTTACTTAACTATATCAATAAATGCTAAATGAATCAATTCTAATGCATGAAAATATATTTTCTAAAGTTTTTCCCAAAAAGTCAAAAATCGACCCCAGGCCCACATGGTCAAAACTCAAGGTTCGAACCAAAACCTGATTACCCATTCACTCACGAACTGAAATATATAATTTATTTTGAAATCGGACCTCAAATCGAGGTCCAAATCCCCAAAATTTGAAAAACCTAAGTTCTACCCAAAACACCCAATTTTCCCCATGAAAACCCTTGATTTTGAGTTGAAATCATGTGAAAAGATGTTAAAGATTAATAAAAACGAGTTAGAAATGACTTACAATCGATTTGAAAGAGTACTTGTCTTTGAAAAATCGCCCAAAGGTGTTTAGGTTTTGAAAAGGGTTGAAAAATGGCTGAAAATGCGTCTAAGTTATGATTTAGCAGGTTGCAGATATCGCAATTGTGACTAGGCTTCGCAATTGCAAACCCTTCAGAACCTGCTATCTTCGCAATTGCGAAGAATATGTTGCAATTGCGACATTGGTAAAATTCACTAAGCTTCGCATTTGCGACTATGTCCCCTTTCACATTTGCGATCAAGGCCTGCCCAGGCCATCTTCGCATTTGCGATTAGTCTTCGCATTTGCGAGCCAGGCTTCGCAATTGTGAAGCCTGCAGATCTACAATATACCAGCAATTTTCTAAGTCCAAATTTCACTCCGCGACCTATCCAAAACTCACCCGAACCCTCGGGGCTCAAACCAAATATGCACACTAACCTAAAAACATCATACGGACTTGCTTGTGCAATCAAATCATCAAAATAACATCAATAACTATGAATTTAGCATCAAAATCAAAGAAAAATCCCATGATCTCTTAAGTTCGAATTTTAACAACCGAAGATCCGATTCACGTCATTTCAAGTCCGTTTCTCACCAAATTTTACAGGCTCAACTTAAATCACATATAATACCTGTACCGGGCTCCGGAACCAAAATACGGGTCCGATACCATTAAATTCAAACATATTTCATTTCCAAAAACTCATATATATTCCAGAAAATAATTTTCTTTAAAAATTCATTTCTCGAGCTTGGGACCTCGGAATTCGATTCCGGGCTTACGCCTAAGTCCTATATTTTCCTACGGACCCTCCAAGACCATCAAATCATGGGTCTAGGTCCTTTAACCCAAAATATTAACCGAAGTCAACTTAAATTCATTTTAAAAGTAAAACTTATCATTTTTTTTTACAGATTTTCACAAAATAGCTTTTCGGATACACGCCCGAATTGTGCGCATATATCGAGGTGAGACATAAAGTGGTTTTAAGCCCTCGGAACACAAAGTTTATTTCTAAACCAAGTGATGACCTTTTGGGTCATCACAACCTTCATTCTTCCGGCATTTAGTCATCCTAATAATGACATTAAACAACCCAGTTAGCCACTCCATACCTACTTTGCCACGCTCTTTTAAAATTTCACAAGAATCTTGGCTGGCCTGATCGCTCTTATTCTTCTCATCTTATGAATTGCCCCCTTAACCTCCTCAAATTTTATACACCTATAATACCCAAAATCTCGACGACTCTCGGAGTTCTCTAAATCACCTAGAACAATTATCCAACTCCGGTTAAGGCGACAAAAAAGGGTCATTCTTTTGTTAGATCTGGGTTTGCTTGGCTCTTTATTGAGGTTACTAGTGGGGTTTTGTGGTGTTTCGATAGTGCTCAAGTTAAGTTCACCCATAGTACTTTCAGCGCTGACGATTTTGAAAATGAAAGAAACAAAGGAGGAGAGACAATGATGGATGGAGAAGAGCAGGCTCTGCTGGCGACAATAATGATATAGTGAGAGAACCCACTAGCGCAAGAGAGACGACTATGTCTTATGAGGGACAATGGGACATGAGTTTTAGGCCGATTGAAATTTTTATTTTATATGTTGGTAATTTAATTAAAGGCGGCTACATGTTATATCCATTAAAATAAGTATACATTTAGAATTTTGCTCGGCAAATAAACAAAAAGTATAATAAGAACAAATTTAAATAATATTTAATTGAAAAAACTACATGGTCTAACAAAATTATACATCATATTCACCATAAATAAATATAATTTAAAAAATACCAAATGTAGCTGATTTTTCTATTTTATACCAAAATATAACTACAAGCTTATTATAAGCTATGCAGGGTATTACTCTGGTGCTCCCCATCCTCTTCCTCTTCCTCTTCCTCTTCTTCTTCTTCTTCTTCTTCTCATTCTCTCGATCTGGCCTTTTTTTTTATGATTTCGAGTTTCAGATCTGGCGGTTGTCATCAACCCGCCATCGTTGTCGGTGTCAACTAGATCGAGGGATTTTCCGGCGACCTTGCTCGCTATATTTTGCCTTTTGTATTTCTCAAATCTAGCCGGATTTGAGTGTATTATGTATTTTTGAATGTTAATACAATTTATTATTTGTATTTTTGCATGTGTTTATGTATTCTAAAGGAAATGTTTTTGACAGATCCTCGTATTTTTTGAATTTTTATTATTTGAATACCAACGAATTAAATAACAAATTAAATATAGTATAAAGTAGCTACAAATAAATATAGTGAATTAAATACAATCGAATATCCCTGTATTTTTTATTTTTATTGCTTGGATATAGTCGAATTGAATATAGTGAATTGAATACAATGTAAAATAGCAAAGAATGAATATAGCCGAATTAAATATAGTGTATACAGCCGAATTGAATACACCGACATACAACCTATTTCTTGATTTTTTTTGTTGTTCAAATACAACCGAATTCATTATAATAAAATTGAATACAATGTGAAATATATAAGAACGGATACATCCAAATTGAATTCAATCTATACGATCAAACTAAATATAGCGACATACATCATGTGATAAATAATTAGTAGCTATAAAATATAATTATAAAAAATTATAAGTACGTCCTTTAATAAGCCTTTAAACTATAGTCATTTGTGAAAACTTCTCTATTTAATTTAATAATAAAGCGGTATATTTAATCCTTTACGCAATTAAAAGGCCCAAAAGAAATCCCCACGGTAACAAAAAAGCAAAAGGCTGGAAAGAAGGGGGCAGTCCTCTGCGCAGTGCTTTCTCTCTCTAGCCCCACTACAAAGAAAGAGAAATAAACAATCCCCACACATACAAAAACCCACTAGGATATTAGACTCCCTCTCTCTCTCACACACACACACACACACAGTGATATCAAAGAGAGCACACTTAAGAGAGACATGGAAAGAGACTGATGAGAATAGCTAAACCAAAGTGAGGAAAAAGAAAAAAAAGGGCAAATCCCCAACCCCAAAAAAAGAAAAAGCAGTTGAAGGAAAAGGGAAAGGAAAGGTTGAGTTGGTTATGGTGGAAAATCTAATCGGCACGGTACAGCAGCTCAGGGGTAGATTCGTGATTCCAGATTCATATCAATCTCCATGCTCGTTTTCTTGTTTTTCACCTCCGTGTCCGGGGCTCCTACTAATGCTGTTGAATCAATCGGCACCAAAATCAGTAAGCTCGGTGGAGTATTCATCGGCGGCGGAGGCAACGGTGGTGGTTTCTGGATGGACCGTCAACCTTCCAATGCCGGTATAGCTTTTGCAGTCACGGCCTTGGCCGGACTCGCCTTGGCCGCCGCCGTTTTCTACTCTACTAGGTAAAAACGCACAAATTTCAAAACATTTTGTAACCAAAAAAGAAAAAAAAGATAAAAAGGAAGAGTGTGTTTTACATATCCGGACTCAATTTGAAACCCTAGAAATCTGTAGAGTAGATCTTCTTCTCTCTCTTTTTTTTTTCACAGTTAAAACAGTGAGTCAGTTGTAGAAGTAGATGAGAGCTCTCAAACGAAGTCAGACTTCGTCGTCTTCAAATTCCTCTTCACCGTCTTCATCATCACCGTCATCGTCATCATCATCGTCGTGGATTCATTTGAGATCAGTCCTATTCGTTGTTGCATCCTCACCAGCTTCTTCTTCTTCCTCTAATCGGTGAGTCTCTCTCCTATCCTAAAACTGCTTCGATCTGCTTCTTCTCAGTTTCTATAACTGTTCCATTTGATCATTCATCTGCCATTTTATATAAGCATACCTGTTTTTCAGATCTCGATCTGTGGTCCTCTTCTTTTGGCTAGGATGTGCCCCAGTGCTAAAGTTGAATCCTTCAGATCATTGCTCAATCTCAGTCCTGCTATGTCTGGAGGGTCCTTAGATTATTCGTATTTTTATGATTGGATTTTTTATTGTCAATGAACTGGTGTTATTCCTTGAGCTATAAGCTTTGAACAAGTCATAGTAATATCTTTTATTTAAATTAGACAAGGTTGGAAACCGTCATTAATTGATATAATTTGTTTATTGGATGTATGCGGGCGATAGTTTCTCTATCTGTCTGCTTACGTGATTAAAAGTATGAAAGTTACAATTTTATTGACCTCTTGCTAATTTCTCCTCCTCTTTTCTCCTGGTGACACAAGTAGGGTTCCATGTTTGAAGTTTCAGAGTTTGTGTTTGTGAGGATAAATCAAGTGTACAAATGAAATGGAAACTGATATGATATGTAACTCTCTTCATCTTTCCCAGGATAGGGATGTTATATATTTATTTCGAGGTTCTGGGGTGTGGGTTGGGGCGACGTTGCACTAGTTGAAGGGGAATTTCTGATGTAGGTAAGGTAGTTTCTAGGTGTTGATGTGTTTTAAGTTTCTATGCCAGAGTCTCACTCTTTAAGTTACTGTCTGTGAAATTTGGATATTGTTTGGATAGGGTAGGCTCATTAATAATGGAATTTAATGTTTAGGAGTGTTTCTTTCACCATATGTTTTTGCTTATACTGAAAGGTTTCGAAGTTTTTCTTAGTTAAGTTGTGTTACTAAATGTTTACCATATTGTGCTGATTTAGCATGAAGATGCCACAACCCTGTAAGATTGAGAACCCCTTAAAGTAGCAAAAGAGTATAACTTCTCTTCAATTACAGTCTCACCCTTAGATTCCACATGGTTTCTTAGCGAAATGTTATTTGGAGGCAATTAGGAGTGCTTTGTGTTTGGATATTCTGATTTGAAGAGTGAATCATTAATAAGTCCCTATTCCTGCTGCTAAACCTCGCCTATCAAAGATAGTCTCATGGATAGATTATGTTATCTTTATTTAGCAGTAATAATATGTACTACTTTCTGGTTGAACACTAAATATCCTGCAACTCCTTCCTTCTTTCAAGTTGTTATAAGTTTATTACCTTCAGCACATTGTTTTGTGGTTGTGGACTTGTGCTGCCAGTTGTTTCTTTTCTTTTATCTTTCTCAGTTGCAGTTTTCCCTACGATTATTTTCTTATCGCTATAATGGTTAACCTTTGCAAAACCCTTGTTTTCTAGAGTGAGTTTTGAAGTGATATTGTGAAATTGCTAATCATGCTGAATATAAGTCTTGACAGATGGATCTATTTTGAGCTTCTGATGTTGTTACCCTGACACCTAACAAAAACAAAGATATAGTGTTACCTTGACGTGCGCTTCTTGTTTACCAAAATGCTTATTCATGCTTATATTTCAGAGGTCATCTCAAATCACCATGGTCTCGTAGAAAAAGAAAACGTGCTCTTGCACCCCAACAGTGGAGAGGCTTTTTCACACCAGAAGGAAAACTTCGTGACGGTGGAGTTAAATTTCTAAAGAAAGTCCGAAGCGGAGTGAGTTTCTGCCCACCTTGAATTCTTATGATTGCATCTTTCTTATCTCAATGTACACAAAGATTATCAAGGCAACAAACATTAAATGGTTTGTTTGAGAAGTTAGGAGTAGAAGGGAAGGCCTAAAAGAGGAACTAATAGAGAATGATTGGATTTCCTTTGCTTGGTTAAGGGAGTTACATAAAATTGAGCTGATAAACCTTTCTTTCTTGTTTGGAATCCAAAAAGACCATGAGGAGAAGTTATAGATTCCCCAACTTTCTTTAATTTTTACTCTAAGACTTTTCTCCTCTCAAAAAGGGATTGAAAAGATTATCTCACTTCTTTTGGTGTATTGAGGCATAGTAGGAGATGGAGAAAGATCATTCTGTCTTGCTTGGTATCCAAAAAGAAAGTGTGAAAGAAAGTTGTGAATTACCCAACTTCCTTTCAAAATTTTCAGACTTCTCTCTTCCAACAGGAACATGATCTTTTATGTGCCTAAAAACTTTTCACGACTAAAGAAGGCAAGGAAAAGTTTTACCATCACCCTTTCCCTTCCTTGCTTTCCAAACAAGAGTATGTTGACTAATCTGTTGGCCCTTTCATGTAGGGTGTTGATCCAAGTATCAGGGCAGAGGTTTGGCCATTTCTACTTGGGGTGTAAGTATTTCTTTCTCATGTAATAATTACTTTGTCAAGTTTGATGATGCGCTTGTTTTTTTTTCTTTCCTATTTTCCTTTGTTTAGCCAATTGTAGTTGCTTTAATTTCCACGAGAGATGGCACTGGAGTTCTATTCTCTAGATCAATAATAATTTATCATCTGAATATTACTTCTTAGTGACTGATAAAATCATCTCTTTACACTTCCCCTGAATTATATATCTAATAACTACGCCCATATGCTTCATTCAGATGTAGTACCTGCTTCTAATGTGATGATGCTTGGGACCAGTACTCCCTCATACTTTCTCTATCTTTAAACACATCCTCTTGCTGGACCTCTAGTTATGCATGTTAGGTTCACTGCGTCTATTATGTTACGAATTTTTTCTGTAGAAGATTGTTTCAAAATTATTCTCTGCTCTAGCAGTACTTCATTTCTTGGTGACAATTTAGGTTTCTGGATCCTATTACCCTTGCCATGTAGAACTACGCTTAGAATGGACAAATCCCTTATAAATGTTTTATTGTTTTTTAACTGTTTGAAGTGACGGTGGGCAATGTTTCTAGAGGTTTTTAGTCCCATTTGGGAGCGCTATAGTTCCACATTAATATTTCCTGAATAGTACTCGCAGGAATAGTACTACTTAAAACTGTATATAATGTGGAGAAACTTTGTATCAAAACATCACACGTGTTTTTTTGTTGCACATTATTTTTCAAATTTAGTTTTTGATGACAAAGTAACCTGACGCGGGAACTTAGTAGTTTGATTCGACAGAGTGGGAAAGTGAATTGCAAAGACAATTAAAATTTTTGCCCAAATTCATTTTATTTAAAAAAAATAAATTAAATGTCATAGTTTATATTTGGGTTGATCTAAATCTTTGTCTATAATCCCCAGAAGGGATACTTTTTTCCTTACACTTTCCAAAGCTTTTTCTCTATTCTGTTATCAAAAAGGTCTTTTAAGAAGTCAACATTATATCTTCTTCTAAGCCCACTTTTATTTGAAATAACAATTTTACCATATCTCGGGTTCGGGCCTTAGGAATGGAGTCCTCATTGGTAGTGAAAACCCCCCCATAGTGAGGTTTCTACTTTGTGAATACCGATTAGTCAGGCCAGTTGGTTCGGAACAGCGGATGGTTAAACCAAAAATGAATTTTATCATTAACCAAAAAAAAGATAAAATTCAAATTCTTGAAAAAACCTATATCTATTGTCAGGTCTACTTCCATTAAAAATATACATTGTAAATTTCAACATTTACTTTAATAGTCGTGTCTTAAGTTTAAATCAGATGAGATACCTATATGGAGAAGAAATGAGTACCTTTTTATGATAAAGCACTTATATTGTCTAATGCATCCCTCACCCAAATCCTTAGAGCAGTTCCCAGGCTTTTGCATCAGTGTAATTACTTTGCTTGTCAAGTTCGGTGACAATGCATACCTTGTGGCGTTTCCTTATTTGACAAAATGAGTTCCTGCAACTACAAATGCTTTTCCCCCCTTTTTTGCCCGACAGTGAATGTTTTGGTTGTAGTAGATTGACTTACTTTATGTCTCTCTGCAGCTATGAGTTGAACAGCTCCAAAGAAGAAAGAGACTGTATAAGAAATCAGAAAAGGTAATATAACCAGATTCATTCTCCCTAGCCGAAAAAAGGACTGAGATGCAAGAAAACCCTTTATTTTTATCTTGTAAAAATGTAGAGGGTTCTGTGTGTAATCAGTTGACGGGTCGTAGTTATCTGTGTGTTAATATTGTTCCAACTACCTTTTAACTGCATGATTCGTACTCCTTATAGTCGATCTGTGAGTGCAGGAGGGAATATGAGAGCCTTCGGAGAGATTGTCGCCGACTGCTGAAACGCAATGGAACTTTTAAAATGAAGGAAACCGGTGAAATGGGAAGCGATGGTGAAGGCAATATCACTGAAGGAACGGATTCGCCCGACTATGAAGATGTTGTTACTGCCCGGGAATCTCTCTCTAGCGAGGACAGGTGCCCATACATCGAGGATTCTGACAACCCCGGTGGTACAGATGAATTTTCCAAACGAGTGATGGAGCCAAATGATGTCTCTGACTCTGAGTCATCAGACTCGGATTCCTCTGCAGATCCTGATATTAGTCAAACTGTCCCCTCCGCAGAAAGCATGGATGAGAATACTGCCGAAGTTGCTGAAGTGACTTCTAAGGAGGACTCTTCTCCTTCAAAGACAGAAGTTTCTTCAAGGCCCTGTAGTGCAGAAGATTTTGGTACATGGCAACGAATAATTCGGCTTGATGCAATTCGTGCTAATGCAGAGTGGATAGCATATTCCCCATCTCAAGCTGTAGTATCAGAGAGCAGGGCACACCGTTTTGCAGAGGCTGTTGGGTTGAAGGACTATGAACACCTAGAGCCCCCTAGGATCCTGCATGCTGCTCGGTTAGTCTCCATTCTTGAAGCCTATGCTCTATATGATCCTGAAATTGGCTATTGTCAGGGGATGAGCGATTTGCTTTCACCGATCATTACTGTAATGACAGAGGACCATGAAGCTTTTTGGTGCTTTGTTGGTTTCATGAAGAAGGCTCGGCATAACTTCAGGCTTGATGAGGTTGGAATCAGGAGGCAGCTAAACATTATCTCTAAGATCATCAAGCACAAGGATTCGCATCTCTATCGACACCTGGAGAAGCTCCAAGCAGAGGATTGCTTTTTTGTGTACAGGATGGTGGTAGTGCTTTTCAGGAGGGAATTAACTTTTGAGCAAACACTTTGCATATGGGAAGTAATGTGGGCAGACCAAGCGGCTATTAGGGCCGGGATTGGGAAGTCTGCCTGGAGTAGGATTAGGCTGCGTGCCCCACCAACAGATGATCTTTTGCTTTATGCAATTGCAGCATCTGTATTGCAACGGAGGAAACAGATCATAGAGAAGTATAGTAGCATGGATGAAATTTTAAGGGAGTGTCAGAGCATGGCTGGTCAACTGGATGTATGGAAGCTTTTAGATGATGCGCATGACTTGGTGGTCACTCTCCATGAGAAGATATAGACACACTTTGTTATGGCGTTTTCCCGGATTTTACACTAATTTATTCTCTTTGCTTTCTCGGAAGTTATTACGTGGAATGATGCTATTGAAATCTGCAGGCATCTCTGGTACACATGAAGAACCGCTCTACCTGAAGACAGTTTATGGTCAAGTACTGTCGCTGCATTCTTTTGGCTAAAAAACAGGCAAATGTCAAAAGAATTTGCACTTAGGAAATAACTTATGCGACTATATCCTACATGCAGGCTGCAAATGGTTGAACTTAGTGTAGCTATTCGCTGGTAGCCTGTATTCCAGATTGTGTACCATGCTTGGTGTTAAAATTTTAATTTGGTTCTATTGTTAATGCGCCTAAGGTGGCCTTTAGTTGAAGTATTTGTATGAATCTCCTATTGCAACATCCCCAAGAAAATGGGGTTTGGTTGCAAGGAGTGTTCTCCCTGAACGAAGGGATGGAATTGTGAAAGAAAAGCATGGGTTGCAGCTGCATTGTGGTTGATTTGCTACTTTGACGAAAAATTGGCTTCTTAATCATCAAAGCAGTAGCTATATCTTAAAATATCTATACTTTGCTTAAATGAAGTTTTCCTATGATATACCAAACTTAATTGTGCAGCTGCAGAATATTTCAGCTCTGCTGAGCTATTGCTGCAGCTGGTCAAAAACATCACCGTGCTCATAAATCTGTGCAATATTGCATTTTCTTTCACTATCTCCAGAAGGATTACTTCAGATCAGGTGTCAATATTAAAGTATCCCTGTCAACTAATGACTTCCTTTTAAGTTTAATTTAATTAAATGAGCAGGTTTCATCTTTCTAACAGTTAAAAGAGTACCGGAAACCTCGAACACACTTGTAAGATGTTCATGACTTGAGAGACACAGAGCACTTGGCATCAAAGGTCAAAATCATGCTTGATTGGGATCCAAAGGAAAGCAAGGTCCAAATAACTCCTCCGTTAGATCTATTCTCTGAGGAGGAGGAAGATCACATGAAGATGCCCGTGGTGCAAGCTAGTAGTTAGGAAAACAATGAATATATTTTAGAGAGATTTCTACAGAAGTATAGTCCTATATAACAAATTGTATCTACGTAGTCATGTTTTTAAGTTTACAGTCGCATAACTGATGGTTTTTTTGAAACAATGTACATGCACCTGTTATACAACATTATGCATTATAAATTATACACATTATTATAATTTTACAGAATGTTATATATAAAAATTGGGTTTGGTCTCTTACGAATTTTTACTCACGAAAAATATCACCTAATAGCTCAAATCTTCACCAAATAGCTTTAAATATTAACCACAAATTAAAAATGACATCCCCGACGAACCTCAATCATCAATTTGTCAAAATATCAACAAAGCACAAAACCCAATTATAAGTTTTCAAGCTTTTAAAACCCCCAACAATGGAGTTTTAATTTTTTATTTTAATTCACCCAACAATGTTAAAATGTATGATGATGAACATGAATATCAATCTCAAATAAGCTCTAACACATCTTTTAAATACCCGGTCAATAGGTGAAAAGAAGTTTCAAACTATATACAAAATAGACTAAACTAGGTTTTAAAAGAAAGAATATAGGGTAAAATTGGTACTTATACTTCCCCGTAATTGAAAAAGCTCTGAAACCTGGTTCAAGTTTTTGTCAGTATTGGATACTCTAAGATCATGTCCTACAACTCGTTATTTTATTTTGATAATTCTAATACACTAATGAAAAAAAAAACGTATGAGCAACGCATGAGTTCACTTAATTCTTTGACAAGTATCTAGTAATTTTATCCTTCAAGGCTTAGACAGATAAGAATAAATTACCCAGTATATTTTATCGTGCTAAGATTTAAACATGAGATTTCATGATTCTCCTCACTCATTCACTACTATTTTTGTGATCATCGTAACACTTGAAATTGCAGTCAAAAGTCTATTCCGCTTAATGCATAAGGAGTTGGATATATAGCAAAGAGAACAAAGCAGCTGAAATTTTAGGAGAAAAAGAAAATCTGCATCTGTAAGCATAATCTCTATAGTTGGCAAAAAGCGGGCAGGCAAAACTTGCCATCTCCAAGGGCGCGAGCAAAAACATAATTTTTACCCCAAAATTCAGTAGGTTGGTTGCAACTAATTAACCAGTATAGAATAGAAGAAAAGGGCAGCGCCATAACCGGTATAGAATAGAAGAAAAGGGCAGCTCGATACACTAAGCGCCGCTATAACCGGTATAGAATAGAAGAAAAGGGCAGCCCGATGCACTAAGCGCCGCTATGCGCGGGATCCGATGAAGGGCCGGACCGTAAACCACAGTCTTACCCTGTATTTTTGCAAGAGGCTGTTTCCATAGCTCTAACCTGTAACCTCCTGGTCACGTGGCAACTTTACTAGTTACACCAAAGCTCCCCTTCCGGTATAGAATAGAAGAACACACAAAAATCTAAAAAAGGAAACGAGATACTCTCAAATATTAAAAAACACAAGCCAAAGTCAAAGCTAGTGTTTCCAAGAGGTACCAGACAAAGCAGTTGCAAAGGACAGTAGAAAATTGATCATCACATTCAGTTGTTGCAGCTCGATAATGAACTAAAACAAGATAAACCAAGTGTTCGTTCAACAACTACATAAATCAAGAATAAGCGGACTGATGCAAACTGGAATCCAAAAGAATTACTTCTCCTTGGTGTAGTGTCGTACTGCAAAGGCCAAGCCCAAGATCAAGAGGGGTACAAGGAACTGTAGAATTTTGATAATGAATTCTGGAGTCTTGTCTGGATTGTATGGGGCTTGTTGCGGTGGAACATAAGAACGTTTTAGTGGAACTGTTGACACATCGATATCCCCAATGTAATACTTATCCATCATCTCTCTAGCAGAATCACTGTGGCCAACATCTTCAAAGTCATTGGTTGCATCTTTCCCTGTTCAATAATAAACCAAAATTCAGTATTCATGTCACACGACACTCAGAGGCACACTCCGGATTTGAAGGTCCAAAATTCAGCATACGCCTCTGACAACACTTATGACCCAAATAAACTGAAGCGAGAAAAAAGGGATTACCAGTTGCTGAAAGCAAAACTTCATCACCACCAGGATGATCATCCATAAATGGAGTTACATCATACACCTGAGAACAATTTGATACGCAGACATAAATTGAAATTCATTTTAGGTAAGGAAAAACATAAAACTGTTGGACCCTTGAAGGAAGGGCATCAAGATGAGATATAAGTTGGTATACACTGAACGTAACAGATGAACCGAGCATGAGCAGCTAAAGGAAAATAGTTTATTGTGGAATCCTAAAGTAGTCCCCAGATTTGAGCAACTTATTGGATAGCTGTTGATGACTAGTCACTAACAATAATAACAGAAAGCTAAAGGTATTTCATTATCTCAGATATGTATTTGAACATTGTATTATAATAAATCGGATTGTTAGAATTTTACTTATTAAGGTTCTAACTCTGACTAAAGGAGAACTTTAGTTACTTCTTTTTTAGGAGCCAACATTGCCAACTTAGAAGTCAACAAGGGGCAAGGGAGAGTCAGAGTAATACTTCTTCGCCTTCATTACCATATACACATTTCTGATTTACCCGAGATCTTTTGCCATAAGCGTATTTCTACAAAGTTTTACCTCTTTCAGAACACCGGAACCGAGACACACTAAAACAGAAGAGATGCATGACCAAAACAAGATTCATATGTTTAGATATTCCCTTCAAGCCATAGAATTAGAAAGACTTGACCTTGATATCCTTAATATGCAAAGCATTCAACACTTAATCGAGAACAAGTCAACCTGAGGAAAAAAGAAAGCAAACATCTACTGAAGAAACGGAATACTATTCACACCCCAAGGTCCAAGCCGACAATCTCTAACAGGAAACAGGTCTCCGAGCTCTAGGGGTTATATACATACATAAATACTTATATTTAAGATTGAAATTACGTTATAAAATACTCCCATACTCATGTTTCAATTTTTCAGTAAAAAGCTTCTTTGGGGATACATGCTAGATCGCTATTGGTATTTGCTTCTAACATCCGTGCCACAGAATATTAGTTGATAAACTAAGCTGACTCTCAAAACTTGTTGATGCTAGTCTCTTCTTTAATGTAGCAAAACTAATGGGCAAAAACCAATTCACTGCTCAGCTCAGACCCAGAGAAAAAGGGGGGGNCTACCCTTGTTTCCCTGGATAAAAGACTGAAATCTCAAAGTTTAGTTCAGCATTAGCTGCCTAACACGACCTTCATTAACACGCGGAAAAGATTATTACTGTTTAAGGACCAGCAAACTCCTTCAGTAGGAAAAATTAAAAGTTTAAAAGTTGGACACTTCAACTGAACAGTGGCGGATTTAGGGGGGGGGGGGGCGGAAGGGGTTCACCCAAACCCCCTTCGCCGAAAAATTACAATGTATATATAAGGCAAAATTTATTTTTTACCTCTATATATTAAGTTTTGAACTCCCTTAACACAACTCAAAAGTGTAGTTTAGTGGTCAAGGGGGTTCAAAACCTTATCCCACTAGCTACAAATTTTTTTTTTGAACCCCTTAACACAACTCAAAAGTGTAGTTTAGTGGTTAAGGGGTTCAAAACCTTATCCCACTAGCTACAATTTTTTTTTTTGAACCCCTTCATGGGGGATACTGCCTCCGCCACTGCAACTGAACACCAATAGGCATAAAGGAGAATAATGTTAGGAAATAGATAGGTCATCGTCCTAATCTGAACTTAAAATGGTCAATTAGAAATATAAATACTGAAGTTGCAAAGAAACAATTCAATAAAAATCACTAATTAGATCGAAGCTATCACCAAAAATCCCAATATCTACGAATTCGATAATTCCAATGTCACGACACCTACTACCACTCAGGTCTCTAACCAAAAACTTCTTTTAAAAAAAGGCAAACAGATTCAAAGACCAGATAACCAAAAATTCCATAACCGGTACAAAGAAGAGAAATGAGAAAAGATGAAACCTTTCCGCTGATAATAAGCCAGCAATCTTTGGTCTTGTTGTGTTTGGCAACCTCCTCAAATCCATGAACTTTCCCATCTGACGCCATCTTTTCCTGCTACCTGCATCCCCACCGCAAAGATCAGATACATTAATTAACAATAATAATCAAAATCCATGAAATTCTGCATAACAAAAAGTGGGAATCTCTATAAACTTTTACGTATACTCACGAGAGACAGAGTTTCTTCGGATTCTCTCTCTCTCTCCGTTCGTGCACCAAACACCTTTTGGAGTGTGCCGGCCAAATTACATATGGTCAATATTATAGAAATCCAGATACGGAATTAGCCTTGACATTTATCGAAATTACGCACATGTTGTAATGGATTCCAGTCCTTTTTTCCTTTTATTTTTTTCTTTTTCTAATATCTAATAGGTAGGTTGTTGGAAGGAGTAGATACATAAATAGCCGTTTTTAGGGCCCAATAGCTGAAATTTACGATGTTATAA